ATATGGCTCGCTTTCGTCCTTCAAATTGTTGACAACGCGCTCAAGAATTTCGCCAACACCCACTTTCTGGCCCAGGTCTACGGTGGTATCGACTACCTGGCGGTAGTTTCGTCGATCGAGTGCCATACGTCGCATCCAGAAGCCCTTGAAAAACTCCGTCAAGACGTGCTCCTTCAAGTAGGTGGCAGTCACACCTGGGGTGCTTGCACACTGAGAGACCACCTTCAAGACGACCTTCTTCATTTCCTCATCTGGTGAGGCAAATTCTCGAATAAGGATCTCCATGATTTGAGTGGTATAGTAGTTGGCATACTCTTCGTCCATAAGAGGAATGATATAGCCGACAGCCTTGAGGAAGGCAGAGAGACCCTTGCCACGCTGCTTGCGGGCACCGGTCCAGAGAGGGCTCAGGATGTCATCGAAACTTTCGATACCGTAAGGGTTCGCAGCCTCAGCCAGAGAGGCCAGAGATAGAGCGGTGACGGTCCGAACCTTAGCTTGTTCATCACTGAGGTTACCTGAAACACATCCGACCAGCTCCTTGAGATGAGGGAGAATGGCGCAGCCCATGAGAATAGGGATATGTTGGACAATCTTGACACCGGTGTGTCGGGCCTGCCACGACTTCTTACTGCGGCAGACAGCGCGGAGGAAAGGGAGGAGGGCGGGAATACCGAGGGCAGAGGCCACAACGGCAAAGGCGCGTGCTGTCGTGTTTCGAACATATTCATCGGCGTGGTCAATATCAGGACGCATAGTACTGATCATTGTAGCAAGGCCGGCGGCCTTGGCAAGGTTCGAGATAATCTCTCGGCCTTCAACGCGAGCATAGTAGTCTTGATCAATGAGCAGTGGTTCGATGACGACCAAGATCTTATGAACATAGGGACGGACCAGATCATCCAGTTTGTAGAGGATTCTGTCAATGACCTTCACCAGCAAATGGCGCTCCTGGTCTTCCAGAGTTCTTTCCATGAGCAGGGGGAGAATCTGATTGAACAGAGCTCCAGGACCAAAGTCGCGTGCATTGTCTGTGATTTGACGCAGAGCAGTCTTGCGCATGGGCGGGGTACCGTTCTTAATCTTGAGTAGCAATCTCATAATCTTTCGCTCCTTCATTTCTTCCACAGTCATGCTGGTTTCATCGCCACCCTCCATCAGTTTACCGAAGTAGGCCATGTCCTCTGCCTTGAAGAATTGGAGTTCACCCACGCCGGGGATATCAGTTGGAAGATCCTTTCCTACAGACTGAACACTTTCTGGCTCTTGCATCATGAATCCTCCGACACCGCCAGCGCTAGACATAGGTGCTGGCGTAGCTGTGAGCCTGCGGGCCTGGGTTCGGATGGGTTCATATCCGGGAGGAGGGTCAAGAACCTTATAGCCATCGGCCTCACCGGGAAGCATGATATCGAGCTCCTCATCAGACCAGCCGACAACTTGACCGGGCATATCGGCCCCAAATCCGACTGCAGATGTAGCAGCACCTGCTTGAGATGGATGCATGGGAGTGGCGAGTCCTTGGTTGCCGACGGGAGTGGCAGCTGTGAGAGATGGCGCTAGATCCCATCTCGATCGGCCGGTCTTGGGTGCTTCTTCGGGAGCAGGTGCTTGATCGAAACGCGATCTTTTGCCTGGTTCACCAGCAGGTTCGTCAATCGTGCCCCATCGGTTCTTTCGCTTTTTTCGGTAGCCACCGCAACGGTCGAACCCGCCTCGGCGTTTTCTTTATCGTGTTCCACCCTTTTCAAGGTAGCCACATGTTCTGTGGTATCTTCACCCTTCTCGCGCTTCTCTGCAATCAGCTTTTGAACGCGTTCTTCTTCCCTCTCCATCTCGCGGATGGCCATCACCTCACGATAGGTTTGGCTTTCTCCTTCAACATTCGCATGGGCATTGGCAGCGAAGGGATCGGCGCGCGTCGGGGTCAGGGCGCCACGGTTGAATCGGCGCTTTTGGTAGTCTGTCTCGCGGTCTGCGATTCGTGCCGCCTTTTCGCGGCCTAGCAAAATGTCCTCCTCCTCGACGCCAGTTCCTTGCGCCATCTCATCGATCTGGCTTCTGGTAGCAGTGTATTGGCCGACCAGTTTGTGTCCTCCATCCGCATCTTCCATTTCTTCATCGCCATCAACAGCGATCGAAGTATCGTAGTTCGAAAACTTCTCAGCTCCATCCCGTTCGTACAAAAAGGTGTCGAAGGATTCCGTCAGGGAGGCTTTGGTCGAATTATCAGTGCGTTGGGCAGATTGGTCAAACGTCTTAGAGCCCTTTTTAGCACCAGAAGCGGCATTGCGCTCGGCCTGGAGCCGTCGAACGGCCTCGATATCGGCTACGGTGGGGATCAGTATGGGACCAGGCGGGAGAGCTTGCGAAAACTTACCGTCAGACATGGTGACGAAATGTTAAAGTCGCAAGGATATGAGTGAGCCTGTATTACCGCAGAAGGGAACACCGCAGCTACATCCGGATTGAAAACCGCTGTAACGGTCACAATAATGGTGATTGAGGATGCTGTGTTGCTAGCCGCCTCGTGATGAAAAGGTCGTGATTATGTTGCACGTGATTAGACACCTTAGCTTCTTGGGCTGGGTGTTAACTAGTTAGGGATCACGTGCACTGTGACATAATCATGATTTGCCGGCCGGGGCCATAGGGCGGTCAACGCACATTTGCTGGACATCGGCACGAAAGAAATATGGGACATCACCAATATGAGGGAATCATGAATTGGACGGTCTGAAGAGGTTAGGGTGAGATATTATGGATCATAGTCAAAGAAAATTTGAGATCGCAAAGCATTTTACATTGTTATGGGACCAACTCCATGTGAGCTACCATCACTCATAGTTGGTTAGAAACCCTTGATATTTCTACCTCGCAGTGTCATTCTCTCTTCACTCTATAATGCTTTGTATTTGAGTGAATCTCACACTGAACTTTATAGCTCATAAGTGTATGTACTGTATGTATTGCTGCCTGATTTGTACTGAAATCTGTGGCGTTGAGAGGGCGCTTATAGTCTATTTATGTCTCACACCGGTGTATCAGGGATATTGGAGGTCTGCATGGACTTTAGTGTTCCTGCACTTGAAATTAATTGTCTAAATTAGGAATAAGGTTCTTAATCCAACTGGGGAGAAGGGCAAGAAATACTCCGATAGCCAATAGCGCAGCTCTAGGCTATAGCAGGTGCTTCAAATAAGCGCCTGCAGCATTCTAAGATTCGGAAGTACTTGATCACTATGCCTTCCAAGGCTGACTGGTACTGATATGCTAGATTGAGAAAACCCATACATATTATTCATATCCAATCTATTCCAAGATTGTCTAATATCAAAGCGACAGTTTGCGGCCGGTAAGCAACAACGGTGCTAGTGTAACCTACAAAGCCCTCTGGTTACATCCTTTTCATTCTAACCAACACAGAATTAAAAGCTCATTTCCCATCTCTCCAGCAACCTTTCAAGATAGGTGGGTTTGACAACAAAGAAGCCAATTTTAGCACACCCGTAGGCTCGCCAGTGTCCCCAGTCAGCAGACTCGGATAATATCCAGGCTATACTATTTAGACAACTCAGATGTGGACAGCGGTATCAATTTAGATCGAATCAATCATTGGCCCGCTCAAAGGTTCATTGAACCAGAATCCACTACGCTTAGTTCAATTCGGTTTACGCCGAGAGCCAAGTTACCTGTGCGGCATATCTCAAACTCCGAGCATGTCCTTTGTTACATATTAGAGTAGCCCTGCTACACTTTGCATTTAATGGGATATATTTCCCTGTTTGTTGGTTTTATCCTTGCCCTTATACCCTAGTTCCTCTCCACAGCCCCATAACTAGATTTGCTCAAGCAAATTCTAGAAACCGTCTACATCTTATAAATTCAAAATTGCCCGGCCACCATGAAGTTCTTCTTAGCGCTGCCGTTGCTCCTCGTAGCAAAAAACGTGGAAGGATACTCGGGCCTTCCTCATCCTCTGGCCCTCGCTTCCTCATTCTCCCACATCTACGACCAACTTGACAAGATCAACATTGGGAATTGCTCTCTCAGAAATGTATCCCTCTCGTTGAACGCGACAAAGGAACAACTCCCAGTACCATCCACGAACTTGACTCTCAAATACGTTGCATTGGGTCGAGGAACACAGAACTACACCTGTCCATCGAATGCTTCCTCAGACTCCAAAACCACTGTCAAGCCCAAAGCTACAGGAGCTGCCGCTACACTCTTTGATGCCTCTTGCATTGCATCATCGTCTTTAGCTCTCCTCCACGAAGTCCCCGCACTCATCAGCGCCACTCCTCTTGGATCTCTCGCGTTCATGGCAACCCTTGTGGCCCAGGGCACAAGAAGTACCAACCTCATCATTGGCGAACATTACTTTGACGCCGATGGAGAGCCGATCTTTGACATGGGACTGAGTGGCTCCAAGTCCTGGGTTGCTGCTAGTAAAATAGCCTCTTCCCCAGCACCAAAGTCAAAATCCAAATCTTCCGGCGATGTCCCGTGGCTTAAGTTGGGACACAAGAAGGGAAAGGGTATCCAGGTAAGCTCAGATCATTCATAGAACGATCTAGAGTATGATTAACTAACCGAATTGCTCTATATAGGAAGTTTACCGAGTTGTGACATCTCAAGGTGACGCGCCTTCCACGTGCGCTGGTCAAAAAACAATGATTCAGGTTGATTATGCTGCAGAATATTGGTTTTATGGGTGACAGCAGCATGCTGAGTTCCTACTTGAAATTATATGGTGGATGGTGGACATTTGGATTCTTTTTTGCAAGCGATATATACGACTGCGAGAGCAAGCGTTTTCTAATATATGTATCTAGAACTGTGTGGAATATACAGTTCACGAATTATGTTGAGATTTATTGAACAATGCAGTTTATAGCCACCCGAGTAGGTATTTTGTATCATGGAATTTCTAATAAATTCAACATTTGAAGTAAAGATTACATATTTTTATCAGATAAACACTCACGAGGAACTCCTTATTGTTTCTGTTTCTTGTTTGTAAGTATACTCTGAATGACAAGCCCTAGTCTCTCCACCCCCTCAACTAACCGCCCTTCATCCTCCCACATGAAACAAAGTCTCAGTCTGCGATGCAAATCTTCCCCTGGAGCATTCCCCCCTGGGACTGCAAACATCTCACCTCCACTCAGCACCAAATTTTGCATCTCTAGAGCCTCCCGACACACCTGCGTCGCGGTCAATGCGGCCGGGAGCTGAACCCAGATGTAGTATCCCCCTGCGATTGGACTGGTCTCAGGATCAGGAGTAAATGATACGCCAAAATGACTCAGATGTGTTTTGATTGCTGATGCCAGAACGCAATGCCTTCTTTGTCCTTCGGGGACTAGCGTATTCGTAATATATTCAGGCAAGAAGTTATTCTCAAGCAGCTCATTGATGAAAGTTGACGTTAGTTGTGAAGGAGCACCACCAGAGCGTGTAGAACCACTACGGAGTTATTTTCAGCTTATTTTCAGATTTCAGAATCTAGAATGAAGACTCACGCTTGAGAAAGACCATATATGAAGTCTTTGGTCCCTTCAGCCCATCCAACTCGACACCCCGGACCAATAAGCTTGCTGAATGATCCATTGCTCACGACATTGCCAAATCGATCTTTTGGTCCACCATCGATCACCCGATCTATATCCACCAGACGCAGCGGAGGATGCGAGATTGTGTTGGCGGAATGTGTCGCACCCCAACCGAGAAAATCATACACATCATCAGCGATAACGAGAGCATTGTACCTCCGCGCCACTCTAACAAGTGCCTCGCGCCGCGAACAAGACATTGTTGTGCCCGATGGATTAGAAAAACTCGGAACACAATATATAACATGCTTGTATATCTTTCTATACGGCCTGCCGGGCTTGTATGTCTTCTCCTGTTCCCATTAGCATGGGTTATACGAGAAAACAACCAGCTTAGCATAGAAATAGCACATACCTGACCATCTTGATAGCCTATATCTCCACGATCAAATGCTTCCAAAGCAAGTTCAAGTGCAGCAACATCCATCCCCTCCCCGTCCTCGGGTATCCCTCGCATCCTGCCACTGAACCCAGCATCCTCGAATACCCGAAAAACAAGATGATATGTTGGCTCCACGAGCCATATGATTTCTGTCTGTGCTGGGTCTGTGAATACCTGCAATGCACATGCTAGATTCTGGCTGGCACCGCCAGTAATAGATATCCGCTCTGCACTGACGGGCTGTGCAGGTGCATAGGATTGGGATAGCCACTCTGCTATATTCTTTCTTAGAGGGAAATAGCCTTCGTCCGGGCCATAAGCAAATCCTTCGGTGAATATGGCTTTGTTAGATAGGGCATTGTTGGCTGCTTGTTTGAGACGTTCCACTGGAAGCATGGCCGTTGCGGGCCATCCCCGGAAAAGGTCGATTTGAGTCGTAGGTGCCATTTTTGATGATAATAATGACGGATATTTCTGAGAAAATTGACTTGCTCTTATACTTGGGGCTTGGATGATCTGTACTATTCTTGCTTTGGGAATATAAGCGACCTGGCCAATCACATTGAACATCCGCCATCGTTTCCCCAGACAAAATGGACAATTGCTCATATTGTAGTTTCTATTACTTGATTTCTTTTTTCTTGTCTACTCTCCAAATATCGCTCAAAGAGAAACTTTTCTCTTATTGATCGTATTGCTAAATAATGAAAACCCTTGAACGCCGGCAAGAAAGCCACCCTTTTACGATCGAGACCAATAATGGGTCAGCGCCAGAATGAATGCAAACGCGAAGAATAAAATGTCACCAGGCACGATGTAAATCCAGCCGCTCAAATCTCAAGGGGCGGAATTGCATTCATGCAGAAAACGCCGATGTATGCCCCCACCCTGCCAACGCAAGCCATCCCCTATTCCAAACACACCATGGACTAGCTCCAGCCTGGGAGGAGCTAGGGCTCTATACATTGTCATCCTCATAGACAAAGTTGATGTCACGGATGCGACGGCGGTTGGTGGAAATGAACTCCTGGTCACCGGCGGGTCGCTCGTTGCGGGTGTTGGCGGTCAGCATGCTCTGAAGGCTCATGCAAACGCTCTCAACTGTCTGCACTGGGGACCAACCAGCGGAGCCCAGGAGGTCAAGGCAGATAATTCCATTGCTGTATATATGGGGATGCATTGGAATTGTGCGGGGTGTGCCAGTGGAGGCAGGGCATTGGATGAATTGGACCTCGGGGGGTTCTAGAATGATTGTGTGTTAAAACCCAGAATGGTCTGATAAAATAACGAGATAAAGACAAGCGCAGTGGGATGGAGCTGGAGAGAGAGCCGAGAGAGCCGAGAGAGCCGAGAGAGACAGAGGCTGCTGAGAAAATGGGGCTTACCAATAGGGTATTTGTTACTGAAGGTAAACTTCAGGCGATACGTCTGGTCCAGATAAAGTGGATTCTGGTCAAGGATCTTGATGTCCATTTGCCATTCCTCCAGGTTGTCACATTTCACGATGGTAATTCCTGGCGGAACATGCTCTTGCATCTGTAAGGTCACAATGTCAGAAAAACATGTTCATAGAATGAGCAATATGTAATATGCTCTCAAAGTATGCCATCGGCGGGACAAAGGCGATAAGGCTAAGAAAACGGAGGAATTGGTACCTTAATGAGCTCCTATAATTCACGAATATTTAGTCAGCAAGGTGGGCATTCCAGTACCCTTTAGATTCAGTTTATAACTTACCTTGCTCAGACGCTTTGTAGCGAACATTGCTGCAATGGTCCACGGGTTGCTGAAAGAAAAGATTAGATCTTTGAGCTCCGGTGGAGAAGGAGGGGCGGTGTCTCGATTAGGTGGAGTAGAGCGGATGTATGACGTGAAGACGGCAAAGTGAGGAACTTCTCAACAAGTGGGATGAGAATGAACTGAAGAATGAATATAAAATGGTCAAAAGAGAAGAGATATTGTCAAACGACTAATAACGGTCTAAAGCTGGCCAAGGCTAGAAGTGGGGAGATTATATATCGGTACACGTGATATCGACACCTGACTCTATATTGCTCATGTCACAGACTACTTTTATACTTGATGGGTTTCCATTTTGTTCATAAGCATTTCAATTTATATACAAGCACTGAGACTGGGAGGGTGAGACATTACAGGAGTTACATGTCCAAAATATCTCAACCCGAGTATGCGGCTCCGGATTCAAATTACATAGTTATCACATACATATGTAGTCAGGCAGCAATGCAATGTTGACTAGTATGTATCAGCGAATAAGAATAGTCGCCTCTGTGGCCTTTTTAAAAGTCTCAAATATATCATTTATTGGTGTCCTAGATAAGAAGAATTAGCGCAATATAGGTGAAAAATGTGGTAAATTGTCATATTAACATGTGAATATCAGCAATCTCCAGGTCTTTGACACTGCCTCTAGAAATCAAGGTTGGAATGTAGAATAGAGTATTTAGCTTCTATCTATAATGGCCATGTGAGATGTTTTTTTGTTTCTTTCGAAGGCCATTAGACTTCGGAAATTTCCATGACTATACATGGGATGGATGATTAAGATAAGTGTTTATCAAAATAGTAAGAACGGTGGGTGATTGCTTAAATGTTGTATGTTCACTCTGATTGACTATGAAAAATGGGAATCACAGAACTATATCCAAGAAACCGCCAGGCACATAAAAGAGAATAACAGGGCAGGATAGGCGCAGGAACAGCGTATGAACAAAGCGTAAGATGTAAAAGCGAAACAAAGAAAGATAGTAAACAATTTAGGCAGAACCCGCCTTCTCACGAGCTTCACGTTCAACCTTCTCCCGCTCCTCGGCCTCCTTCTGCTCACGAACCTTGGCCATAACAACTTCACGGAAAATAGCACCGCGGGCAGCGCTTGCCAGACTCTTCTTCTTAGCGTGGCCAGAGGTAGGGGCAGGGCTGGCATCGCCGTTTGACACTGATGGTTCAGCCACGCTTGATTCTTCGGATGAGGCGCCCATGTCCATGGGGCTGGGGATATCCTCTCCGTCCTCTTCCTCGTGCATCTTGAGTGACTCGATACGGTTGGCGAGCTTGACGATCTCGATTCCGCGGCGGAGACGGGCGCGCGCAATGTAGGTGCGGATTTCAGGCAGCAAGTCACGGTCGCTCGCAGTCTTTCCAGTCAGCCATTCGTGCTTGAGGGCTTCCTCTGAGGTAACTCGCTTGCTGGGGTCCGCGTTCAAGAGAGTGAGAATGAAATCTTTGGCGTCCTGGGACACGTCGCGCCAGTATCGCTCGTGGAAAATGATACGGCCTGTGCGGCATTCTTCGATGAGGTCGGTCAAGTTCTCGGATCGGAAGGGGGAGTAACCACACAGGAGGGTATAGGTGATGACACCGAGTGACCACATATCGACAGCCTTACCGTGGCCCTGCTTGAGCATGACCTCGGGGGCAGCATATCCAAAGGAGCCGGCCATGCTGGTCAGTACCTCGGAGGGGTCGTGCAGCATCTTGGCGATACCGAAATCCGCCAAGACCAATTCAGAGTCGGCGGAGCGGGTGAGGTAGAGGAGGTTCTCGGGTTTCAAGTCTTTGCAAAGGTTAGTTCTGCGGAGAGCGCTAGTACTCAAGAAGACCGACCTCGGTGAACGATGTTGCGCTTGTGCAGGTAGTTCACGGCATCAAGTACCTGGCGGATGGTCTGCGACGCATCTTTCTCAGTGAACTTGCCATAGTCGCAGATCCGGTCGAACAACTCGCCACCGGTGGCTAGCTGTGTAACGATATAGAATTTGTCCTAGGTCTTCGATTAGAAACCCGCAACGATCAGACCAAAACATAGATATGTGCTCACCTTAGATTCGAACCAGTCGACAAACGAGACAATGTGGGGATGTTGGAGTGATTGCAGCATTTCAAGCTCATCGTAGACCATATTTTCGTTGCCACGGACGTTTTTCTTGAGGATTATCTTGATCGCGACCTTATGTCCGTCGGTGCTATCCGCCTCGCGAACAATTCCGTATGTACCTGCACCCAGCGTCCGTCCGAATTTATAGAGAGCCCTACAGCCAGCGAAAAACGGGTCAGCGAATGTGGGGTAAGGGGGCTAGGGTAAGGAGGCCGTACTTCTTTTCGTAGCTCTCTGGCTGTCCGGACAGCTTGTTGAGCATGGTTGCGACTGGAAAAGTGCGAGTTAGTAAATTGCGGGGCCTTTCAGACGAAACGCGCAAGACAAATGAAGCAAAAGACCCCTGGAGGAGCCGACCGAGGGGAGAGGGCATAGGAATTGCGAAGCAGACCGTGGCACAAAATGACAGCTAGAAGTCCCCCTAGCCCCCATATATTCCATAGAGAGCTGACAGGAAGGGTGTAGATCGACATGGTAATTCCAACGCAGTGAGGAGTCAGATTGGGGACAAGGCTGACGCGAAGCCGGACAATATTCGGGCAACAGCAAATGACGAATCATAGCAAGATTGAATAGAGAACAAAAGTCCCATGAATATGAAATATCGACTCACAACTCATGATGTGGGGATAGGGCTGCAGATGCCCAAGGTAGATGTACTCGAATGGGCACGACCCGTTAGGTAGCAACTAGTAGAATGAAGAAATGGGTTAAGGATTCAAGTATTGAGGGTATCGAAAAAGTTCAATCTAAAAGAGAATAAGAGTCAGTATCGAAAATATACTGAATTCGAGGGGCGACCATGCGCGGGGGTGGCTGTATTGGATGAGTACAACATAGACATACCGCAGACTGACAACTGACAACTGATTGACAATTATCAGAGACAGTTCAATAAGTCAGAGATGAATATAAAAAATAAAAAAAAATTGCCTAAAGAAAAGGGCTGAAGAGGGGGGAAGATCAGTTCTAGACGCGATGAGGCTAGGAATTCGGAACTGTAGGGTTTAGCGCCAAGCACAGCCACAACGGGAATGTTACTGCCTCCAGGGCTGAGATTAGACGCTAGAGGTATTTATATGACTTATTAAGAGTGCAAATGTATTAATGTAAATTCTCAAATACTAACATTAACTGAGTAGCCCTTAGTTATACTTTGATATATGTCGCTAGTTACAAGGTACATATGTACATGTATGCGAATCCACAGCCGTTTTCTGTACAAAAATATACCCTTTTTTTTTTTCTCTAACACAAGAAGTTTCAAGACCTGTATATTTATTGACACCATTTCCACTACTTTAGATCCCCCAAAAAATAGTATGAACTTGAAATGGACATTAATATGAAAGCCCTTCCCTGATTGGCAAATATTCTGACCCCACTTGGTGCCTTGTGTGGTGCCTTATGTGCAGCGTCACCAGACGTCATAGGCTTGAACAGAGGTATATCAAGCACAATAACCACCGGTTTTTTTTTGGCTTCTATTAAACTTGACATATCCTCAACTTGAACCTTTCAATGATATCCTTCCTCTTCTTCCTTACCTTCCAGGTAATTCTACTTGGCGCTTGGGTCGCCGGTTATCTAGACCCATACCAGAAACAACTTCAAGAGCTCTTGCTGGACTACATGGGCGAGACAAAGGTGTCTTATGGACTGAAAAGTATGTTATACCAAAGAAAAAGAAAGAAAAAAAAGTATACTAACCAGAATTTACTTACAGAAAGTCTGACTGGCAAGAAGCTCACCGAGGACCAGAATCTAAGCAAGATTCAAGATCAGCTCGGGAATCAATTGGGTGGGATGTTTGGGAAAGGAGGCCTGGGAGAGGGATTTGGCTCTGTTTTGAGTAAAGGTCTTTAAGGCTGGGAGGATTCATATGGATGAGAATAACAAATTGGACCTTTGGAATTATGATTAAGATTAAGGAACAAATCCACTCATGTTTCCATGCAACCTTCAACCGGTAACAAAAGATATGATCTTTTATAACCAAGTGAGCGAAGACGCGACTTTTAATACACCCGGCATACTTAATTTTTCAACGCCCTCAATCTGCAATCAAGTTGATCAAATATAGACCATGATACCCCATGATCTAAATTGCCAACCCAGGCAGATTGAGCTGAATCGAAAGGCTCCATCCAACGCCATGCACTTGCATTAGCACTTGCACAGCACCCAACCAGTGAGAAAGAAAACGCAAAACGATCATAATAAAAAGACACCAGTAAGAAAATAAGCAGTAAGATCTCACCGCTTCAACCATTCGCGAGATCCATAACCTGTCTCACCAAGCTCAGCCAATGCAGTTTCGCAAAGCTGGTCATAGTACTCAGTCCCCTTCCAAAGACTATGCTTCGACCGAATACCAATCCTCCAATCCTCTTCCCTGAGGCGCTTGATGCGCTGTGCTTTAGTCTCAACCCGGATAACGTTTCCATACTCATCAATATTAGGTCCCTCGATCACAGGCTCCTGTGGTTCACCGGGGTTAGACTTGACGGGAGAAAAAGTCCAGAAGGAGGCAGACCGAGCCATAGTCGTGTTGCGAGAGCGACGAGCCTGCTGAAGGTCCGAGACATGCTTAATCTGCTTGCGGAGCCCGGTCACGTCGGCGGGGATGTGCTCACGGAGCCACTTGATGGCGCTATTAAGCTCATTGATCTGGGCCGCGCGCGCGGCGCTCACAGGCGCGGGGGAAGGGCTTGTCGACCGCGACGAGAGCGAATTGGTGCTTTTCTGCTCTGGCGAGCCTGCGCGGCTGGTGAATGGCGAGCGGAGGACAGGGATCTTCTTTCTCAGAACCGGGGTGGGCGTCGGTGGAGGTGACGGGAGGACGGAGCTCAGACGCTTAGGCTGCGGTGCTAGGGTTGGAGAGTTTGGCTTCTCCGTGTTAGCATTCAGACGCCCGGATGGGATTATCTTTAAGGGCAGCCGGGGAGGGCGAGCTCGGACGGGTCGATTCACCTCAGACTTGGACGTCTCCTGCTCTGGACCTCCGCAGATTACCATTGTAGAACTGTTGCACATGTGCACCTCGCCAGAGCTCTTCCGGATTGCAAGCGGGGGTGGAATAAGCTCGCTACGCTTTACTGGATCCTCAAGTCCGGCTGGGAACTTGATCGGAGACAGACGCACTGGCGGCTGATTTAGGGTGCGAGGTTTTGGCGGCGCGTGGGTCACAAAAGGGTCGTCGCCTCCTGCCATAATAGAGTTATCAATCATTCGGGCAATCTTTCGGACGATAGTTCCCCCGTTGGGCAGCCCATCTCTGGCACTATTAAAAGAGATCAATTGGTCTCTCGTAGCCGGGCGAGGAGAAACGTCGCTTGGTGGGGGAGGGGGCTTGCGAGTTGGAGGCGGGATATGAAAAGCTGGGGGAGGAGCATCATAGTCGAGACGCGAGGCTTCTCTGGCAGCAGGAGGTGGTGTGACACAAAAAGCAGTGGTAATAGTCGAGCCGGAAGAGGAAGAAGAGAGAGGGACGGGCGCAGGAGGAATGCTAGCCAGCCTAGCATTATGAGCTGACAGATTCTCGACTGACAGAGCTTCAGAATTTGTAACAGACCCAGGAGCAACCTCACGCTCCAAAAAAGGTGGACTCCACACGACAGTAGTCACAGAAGACCGAGGAGACGAGTTGGGCGAATGGAGAAAGGTAACTGGCGAGTAGGTCTGGTTGGGATTCAGAACTGGCAGCGGAATAGTGGCGGGCAAAGACTCATAGGCAATCTGAAACCGCTCCATAGCAGAAGTCAGAAGCGGGACTTTGACAGCTGAAAATATGTGAGCAGCTCGTCCCATATACTCATATGAGGTGGCTGCATAATAGTGGAGGTAGGTCGCACGGATCGGATGGAGCTATGTATACACCCATTAGAGGCCGAAATCTGAGATGAGATCTGTGAAACACAAACCGGATTAGACGCGGTGTCTATGAGCTGATTGCAACGCAAGGCACATTGTTTGTATTGCTGGTTGAAACATAGCCATTTCACATCGGCGAGGGCTCTCTTCCATTCGTAGAAATTCTGGGGAGGAGAGAAGACACCAAAGGGCAACGAGGCCTCTGATGGCTTTTCTGAGGTATTCGAGGTTGAATGGGAAGCCATTTTGGAAGAAGAGATGAAACACGGGATGGGGGGAGAAGAGAAGGGAGAAGAGACGAAAGAAGAGACGAAAGAAGAGACGAAAGAAGAGACGAAAGAAGAGACGAAAGAAGAGATGAAAGACTGGACAGTCTGCCTCCTCAAATTGAGACTTGGGCACTTGGGGTACCAACCCAGAACTTGCTGGACATGTCCGCCATGCTTCTACCTTGTGGCCTCAAGACTACAAGGCATATCTTCAATGATATTTTTACGGGCAAAGAAAGTACATATTTGCCTCTACCAGCCAGGAAGCAGTGCCTTCATCATCATTGGAAACATCCGTAAAGTGAACATAATATTAGTTACTGGAATTGTAGATACTGACATGAATCTCAACATATCTGGGCCTCCTTGAATGCCTTCCGACTAAGGATATTTGCCAGTGAAAATATCCCACAAGCCCATAACGGTCATCTAGACTTGCTCAGCAACATGAGCACCACTCATCTCATGTTTGATACCGGCCCGTGACAATGCCTCGCCAGTCGCCGAAAGCGACTCTAGGAAATCACCCAGCAGACGGTCAAGTTCTGCTGTCACCACACCATCATCCATACCTTCCATCAGACCCGCCGCACTTGGGGGATTGAGAGCGGGGAAGGGAATGGGTCGCTTATCTTCTGCCTGTGACATGGGGACTTCAGATACGTCGTGTCGTGCATTTCGTATGGTTTCGAACACCGGAGTGTCGAACACGGGAGATCCCGGTTCTGAGACCGGGCCCGAAGTCACCGAGGAAGCAGTGGGGGTTTGGGGAATTGGAACGGCTGTGGGTAAAGCTGTCATAATATCTTCAAACGAGGAGCTTCCGGAGTGCGCCCTCCATGTAGGGTGAGATTCCTCGTCCGGGCCGGGGCCATCGAGGATACCGGAAGCCTCATATTCATTGTAACCGGCTAGTTCCATCATAGCGGGGAGTTCTGTGTCGAAGAAATGACTGTGATGAAGGGAGTTTGCGCCCTCTGGCGTGTCGGGGCGATCGAAGCGGAATGGATCGTAATCTGAGTCGGAGACATTCGATGCCGAAGTTGAAGGACGTGAGTCACCTGGTTCATCTGTTGACTGTGGTTGCGACTGCGGCGGAGGTTGAACCTCGGGCAGTGGAGCCCGGAGGGTGTCATGTCGGTCATCGTATGTTTGGCTCTCGGGCACGGATCCCATGACTGGGAAGGTCCACTGCATGGTGGCTCGCTTCTCAGCCTGGAAAGACTCCTCCGTTATGGGCTCCTGTGCAGGAACCTCCTCTTCCTCTTCTTCTTCCGACTGTTCCTCTTCATCTTGTACGAATGACGGGAATTTCCAGTCCATGGTGGGAGGTCGAGGACCAGACGGCACGAAGGTATCTTCGAGGTTTCGATCGTCATCCACACTGCTATCAGACGATTTTGAGCTGTTCTCAGAGGAGGTCCTGTTCAACCGAAGACTGGAACGGTTCGCGCGGATAGTGTTTGCATCAACCAATTGGAAAGGCTGTGCAGACGGAGCTCCTGCTGCGTAGTGTGAGGCCTCGAATGACCCGATGTCGATATCGAGAAAAGTTGATGTGACAGAGGAGCGGTCTGTTTCCGCACGGAGGGGAAGATCTGAAGTGGACTGGGCGGGTTCGATGGGGACAAAGTCATTTTTTGTTTCGTACGTATAGCTGGGCTTTTCCTCATCAAACAGGCCTTCCATTGCCTCGGCGCCTCGGCGCACACGTTCGTCGAAATTGGCCTTATCTTCATAGTTAAGATCGTCCTCTGAAAACTGTTCGTACATGTCCTGCTCAGGCCCTGCATCGGTAGGACTGATTGATTGCTCCATCTCCGCCAGCGAGGCGGCAATCTCATCCAGGTCAATGACAGAGAATCTTCGCTCGAACCCATCTGTTGTACTGAAATTCCAGTCATCTTCCGACTCCTCAATGCCTGGGAGTTCAGCCGCCTGGGCGCCGCCTGGGTGGAACAAAGAAATACGCTGGCCTCCTCGCTGAGACCACTGGTAGTAGTTTCTCACCAACTCACTTACAGAGTCGGTGGGATATTTCTCTTCTGTATCGGCAATGTAAGGGTGGGAAAGGATATCTGCCATAGTGGGGCGGGTGTCTGGATTGGAGTCAAGGGCGTAGGCAATAAGATCTTTCAATCCTTGGCTGTACTGATCGCTGTCCAGCTGGGGAGTTTTGCGATTAAGCTGGCGACCGATTTGCATTCGTTCTCGTAGGCCCGCGTTTGGCGGGTTCCCGTTCGCAAATTCGAACAATGTGCACCCATACGCCCACACATCAATTTCGCTCCCGTAAAGATGGGCCTCTCCACGAGTTGCAAACATCTCTGGCGGCATCCAGTGTGGTGTTCCAATCCAGGTTGATCGTTTGTCCCGCTGTGATTGGAGAACACCAGCAACACCGAAGTCACAGATTTCCAGATGACCCTCTTCATGAACGAGAATGTTTGCAGCTTTCACATCGCGATGAATGATCCCAGCTTCGTGAATAGCACGAAGTCCGACAGCCAGCTCACGAGCGATTGGAATGATGTATTTTTCATCGAGCTTGTCGTTTGTTGCACGCATCAAGGTACGGACACTGCCACCGGGACAGTACTCGCAGACCAGCCACAATTGAGAGTGGATGGAGATGGCTTCAATGATTTCGTTGATGTTTTTGGCACCAGAATCCTTCACTTGCTTCATCACCTTAGTTTCATGGATGAAATCCTTTATCGACTCATCTCTGAAATCTCGAAGCGACTTGTAGTCCAGCGAGTCAATATCTAGGACTTTGATGGCAACCAGCCGACCTGATGATTTTTGGTGACCTTTGTAAACACGACCATAGGCACCTTTGCCTATCAACTCTTCAAACTCGTATGGTGGAACCTCAGTTTTCGCACGACGACACATCTCTTGGACAGCCACCCCTTGTTCACGAGCTAGCTTGATTGCTTCTGCTTTGTGCTTGGTGATGGCCGCCATTGCAGAGGATGGGTCCAAGAGACGGGATGTTCGAGAATCCATTGTGAGTGAAGATGATCTTGAAATGAACCAGGTATGGAGACAGGTATAAAAGTGAGAAAGGAGTAAAGATAAAAATGGGGCTGAGTGAGTCAAGTTTAAAGTGAGTGTAAAGATATGCGGCTCCTCTGGCGTGAAGTTAACGATTGAGTGTGGATGGAGTGCCCGGGCTTTTGCGGGCTTGACAAAACAGATGTTTGAGCCTCTTCACAAGATGTTTCAAGACTCTTTTGCACTTTCGTACGCTCCTTTTCCCTGAGGCGAAAGAGGTTGTCGACGGACGAGAAGAGATACGGAGAGGCGTCTTTTGGTAATATCGAGGGGAAGCTGTTGGTGTGGGGCGCCCTTCGAAGATAGGCTTGAAGGGGCGCTGCCGTCTGATCACGTAGCTGATCGGACGAACTTGTGGATGGTATTCAGGGAAAGCAGTGTACTTATTTGCACGATCGTGGGCCTGGTGGGAGCTGTCAAGCTTCGCTTGTTGTCCCTGGTGATGGTCGATTGGGGGATGTAACTCTCTGAAAGAGGCCCTGGGGGACAGGGAAGGGACTCGAAAGGAAACGTTCCGAGTGTTAACGACGGTTGAGGTATCGATAGTAGACGACGGAGGGATTCCAGAAGAACTAGTTGAGGTATTCCCTAGCCCACTGGTGTCGAGTGCAGATGTACTAGCTTTGGCACAAACGTTGGAAGAATCTTGCTCTCTGATCGAATTATTGTTATCCAATTCTTCGGAGAATCGGGAAATCCGAGGTAGGCTGGCCACAGATTCGATTTGAGTACTGGAGACAGTCGACGTATTAGCCTGGGCACTGTCTTTCGGTAGCACTCGTTGGGAGTCAGAAGAAACGTGGGAGAAACTTTGGTCCCCGACCGTTTGGTTGCGACCGGGAGGGACTGGAAATGATTGAAGTAATTGCTCAAAGCTCCCGGGTTCCTTTAATGTCCTCGGATCCTGGGACTTTTTGAAATTGCCTTGGGTTCCAAGGGTGTCGTTGAGATTAAAAACAGAGTCGGGCGGCTCACCTATTTCGCTGTCATAGACTGATGGGCTTGGCAGTCCAACTGATTCAGGGCGTGCAACTTTCTCCGATGTCTTATGGTGTTCGGGAAGCTCAGAGGACTCAAGGCAGGGATGTTCGTCCGATACAACCTGTTGGAGTAACTCGGAGAACAGAGATTCTGAATCGGCGGCGATGAGAGAAGTCCACTCTTCTCCGTATTGAACTAGATCTCTGCCTTCCAAGCCTTCGCGAAAGCCACTAGGAGGACGGTGGGTGGGTGGTAGACGAAACTGATTGGCACGTTCACTGCAAGGGCGGTAGGTTAGTCAGTGAAACTCACCCACTGAGCGGAGGAATAGCTTGCCAGAGCCTAGTAGATGCAAGTCTATGAGCAATGCTGGTAGAACTGAGTTGGCCAGGTTGATTTCGGCTGTGACTGGGCTCTAGATCTGTACCAGGAAGCCCAGCAAATGGATCGGATGAGCCGAAGAGACGAAGCAAGAATTGGTGCTCGCTTGGAGGAAACCCGAGCTCCTCAATTAGATTTTGAATACTGGGCGACTCGTCAGCCATTCCGTTTCAGAATTACATAGGCGGTATATCAATCGAGCCCGGGGTCAATTTGATGATGGAAAAATGACAGTGGGGATGAAAGCAATCGTGTCTCGCTGTCAATCATTTTGGGACCTACCTGGTCGCTTATTTAATCGAAAGACGAGCCACCACCTGGGAAACCCGGAAACCCGTGTAATCGAGTAGACACCCCGAGTCTCTCCATTTGCCCTTCCAATACAAAATAATTCACAGGGGTCAGCGGGCTTTGACGGTGAACTAAGGCAGAGTCGAATGTTTCAGAGCCCACAGCCTGATTCACACAGCTTCCCACCTATATAGTATAAGACTTGAGAAGTGTGGATATATTGAGGAACAGGGCGACGAAGACCGGCTGCCAGATGTCGTTGGCGATGTTGTGGCACGTGATATGTGCACCCTTATCGTGATCTTTAAGGAGCTGACCGCTTTGTCCGTTCCTTTTAGGACTTCCAAAGGGTGGAATTCTGACCGCCATTAGGAAGCCTTCAATCTAGTCCACCAGGCCTGGAAGCTCAGGATTAGCAAGGGCTAGTATAAACTCTTGGATGTCTTTGCAGTACTATTAGATGATTCCTATCGCGGGCAGCCTTCAAAGATGCCCAGGTGGGGATCGGATCTTATCGCTTATCGTGAATTATCGCGAAGGCTTATCACCTTTTTTTTTGGTTGCTCCGCGAATGCTCCGCGAATGCTCCTACATACATATACGTACGTACTCCGTACATGCGTAGTCATTACACTAAAACTAGGTGGAAAGAAGTGATTTATGCATCAAAATTATAGGCAAATTTGGCTAGGGCCCTATGTTGCAAGCTGTGCTGTTCTTGTTGTGATACCATGGGCCACTTATAAGTGCCCAAGCTATCTATCATATACGATATGAGATAATAAGGCCCGCCTGTGCTCTGCACACTTTGTATTGTATGTACTCAAGCTAATTATGTGGAAATAGGAAAATTTCCAGTACATTGAAAGATGATCTAGTAGATTGGGCTGAGAGGCCTGTCTACTCGAGTTCTATTAGGGCCATGTTACAGTGTTATAGTCTCTCTTAGGACCCTTCATTTTGCTGGATCTATATTAAAGCCCTGATATGGTTACTTTCGGGGATATCGGGGATTATTCTTTAATCATATAGGTCTTAGGACTCTAACCATTGGGGTTGAGAAATGTTAATCAATCATCTGTCTATTTTCGAGGAGTGAAATGCAGGCCAAGAAACTTGACGATAGGCCCTTTTTCGCTGCTGATCAGGGGGTTTCGATCGAAGAGCTACCCAACCCCAGCTTGTCTCTGTGTGGGACTAGTAAGATGTCAGGGATTGAAAGGCAAACGTCATGATGGCATGTCATAAGATATTGTCAAGAGGAACACTACAGCCAGTATACCCTACAGGATAAAGAAGGGCTGGGAAAATTTGGTGGGTGATGCGAGGGTAGTATTACCCGGGGAATGCACGATAGGCCCTACAAACGGGACCTATTAGGCCGACAGGTAATTGCGTTTGATAGGGCCATCAATCATACATATGCTGAGGCAGTTTTAAAGTTCCCCATAAAACCATTGGTTTGCTGCATCTCGACTACACTAATACCCGATATGGATATCAGCTCGTTACACACCCTAATTGTTATGCCACGTGCCGCAGGATCAGCCAGCCTGCTTCCAAATGCCAGAAAGGGTAAATATAGCCTAATGCAAATCGATCTATCCAATTTATCTAACTATTTATACACTCTGTATCTCTCACTAAGTGCTTAGTTTCTGTAATCCTACTTATCCCCACAATGGCATCTGTAGTGGAGAAACGGTCTTTCGAGCAACGTCAGCCGCTACAAGAGCCGACTATGACCATATCCATTGCCAAGCTAGCACAGTCGCCACTGTACAAGCCAGCCAAACGCACTTGCAGCTTACAGGAGTGTACTAGATTGAGTTACCAGAGAGCAAAGGCTTTTAGACATGCATACGGTATTGTTATCATCATATATCTATTGTCATGTCCAGTTCCTAATTGCAACAGGCTTGACAATCCGGGATGTGCTGGAAATTACGCCAAAGTTCTTCAAGATGCATATGGATCACCTAGCTGCGCTTGATGGCGGGGCTTTTACTCTGCTCACTATCCAGTGTAACCTCTTTGTTGGGACAGTGGCTCCGCTTGCTATAAATCGCCCAGAGCTTCAGTCAATCCTCCAGTCTGCTATGAGCTTCGACATCTCGTGAGTTACACATACAAGTGTTTAACTTTAGGAGGGTTGACTGACCAGGAATTTTATATAGGGCACAGTTCATGTTGACCGAAGTCAATCATGGCTTAGATGCACGAAACATACAGACAACCGCTACGATCCTATCTAATGGGGATATTGACCTCCACACCCCGTCTCCAAATGATGCAAAGTAAGTCACTTACCTTGTCTTTTGTTTGAAAAGAGCTAAAAGGTAGCCGTCAGAGTTATGCCACCAACTACCCCGAGAGGTGGCATTCCCGTAGTCGCGGTTGTAATGGCTCGTCTTATTAACGAAGAAAAAGATTGTGGAATCTGGCCATTCCTTGTCCAAATTGGAGACGGAAAAGAGATGTGCACAGGTGTTATAGCGAAGTGAGTTTTAAATGTGATCCCATTATTGAATCAAATCTGTGAGCTAAGTCGTCAAAAATAGGGCACTGCCGCCGCGTACTGGTGCTCACCCAGTTGACCATGCCCTAACGTACTTCGATCATGTGCGCTTACCAGGATCTGCCCTACTGGGTAGCTTAGACCGAAGGAAAGACGAGCATGGGGCTTTCTTGTCTACAATACATCGAGTGGTAGTAGGAACCCTCGCATTATCCGGAACTACCATTCCGTGCCTAAAGGTCGCAACCTTTAACGCATATCGCTTCAGCTGCAACAGACTTGTCACTGGAAAAGGTGGAAAACCAATGGCAGTAATTGGGTTCCGAACACAACATCTTCCTATTCTCTATGCTGTGGCTCAATATAGCGTGCTCGAATCGTTTTATCTTTCCGCGTCGAAATCTTTTCGAGACAAGAGCATCGATCCACGAATCCGTCATGGCATCGCTATCACCTTTAAAGCAGCAGCTCTAGCTCATTTCGGCAAGAGCATCAAGGCCATGAATGAGCGATGTGGATGGCATGGGCATTTTGAGAATAATCAAATGCTTCAACTCGAGGTGAGTTTCTAGCAACCTCATTGAGATACTAGAAAAATGACTCGTATGGTGATTTCAGTTAGAAATGCGTGGTGTGTCAACTGCAGAGGGTGATATACGGGTTCTTGCCATCAGTATGTGCCCACCATCGTACACACTTATGTTCTTTGGGAAATCGCAGGTCTGACAATATAACACAGAACTCGCATCCGAACTATTGATTGGTCGGTATCAAATGCCACCGCCAAAGGACCCAAATAGTCATTTTTCTCGGCATGAAACCTCTCTATTTTCTGAAGGAAAAGCTCTACTCCTGCAGTCAGCCAAGGGAATTCACCGGAGCGAACGGTTCAACCGGGATATTCTACCACTTGCTCTTCCGTTGGTCGAAGCAATCGGGCATCGAATGGCCTTTGAGGCAGCCCAGGAAGCCAATCTTGATTTAAAATTGATTGATATGTACGCGATCGGAGTCATAAAGGAGGACTCTGCCTGGTATGCCGAACAAGGTGGGCTGACCAGAAGGATCCAAATGGAGATGGAATCTCAAGCGGCAGATGCCTTGCTCCCAGATTTGGAAAACATCATGCGGGATTCAGGACTGCATGCTTATAGCAATGCTCCTATGACATCGAAGGGCTTGTGGGATGAATTTGTCGCTGGGTTGGAGACGTTCGAGGGGAATGCTACACCCCATTTACTATCTCGGCTTTAAATTGCTTATGTGTGGAATATATTGAAATTGCGTAAATGGATCAGACAGGCAAATTCCAAACCAACAAATCATTATAACTATGTACACTTAGTAAGAAATGCAAGACTATATGGCGGACTAGGTAAAAGAACATAGTATGCATCAAATCCTATAAACAGAAGAGAGCCCAGATCACAAAGATGGAAATGGAGAGCCGTAGGCCTGCGCCTACATCAATGCGGAAGCCGACAGACTTTTCCTTCTCGCTATCATCTTTGGCTCCTGTGTCATCTGCGTCATCTTGCTCCAATTTAGCCCCAGTGACTGCATTCATGCCAGTCGTGATTTCGAGAATTATATCTTCATCAGAGTCTCAGTTCCTCTGCGCTAAAGAGACTTCATCATTGCCCATATCATAGACAGTGTAGATCTATTGGAAGAAAGTTTGCTCCAAGCACAACACTTTTTGCGTCCTTGGCATCGGTTTCGACCGCGACAATGCCCAAATAGCAGATGTCCTCATCATTGAGCACGCTACCTGTTTCTATGAACAGACCAATGTCTAGCTTGAAACTCGCAACTCCAAATTTGAACGTGAGTGTTGTATCACTAGAAGTTGTATTGCATGGGATATGCATTGGCCCGAACATTAGGACGTAAGTGCCCAATTGAGAGGATATCTCCTGTGCGATGGACTCCGGAACAGATGTATAAGACACCAAGGAGTCATGTAGAGCTTGTGTCGAAAGCCCCTTGGGGAACACCAATGTCTCGTTGATGGAAAAACTCGTCATGTTGACCCGGAAAGTCTTTCTATCATCGGCAGGGTTGTTGACGATGGGAAGTGTGTGGAGTGTGCCATTGTATTTGGCTTTGTTCACACCACCAAAAATCAGAACGCCTGGTTTCTCATCCTGCGAGTCTCCTGTAGATGCAGAATGCAGAGGATTTCCATATACATGCTGAAGGCCGGGGACTTGATGGTTTTAGCAGCAACCAATGCTTTAGTAAGGGAGATGAAAGACGAGTTCGCCTCGCCCAAGCTGAGAGTGTCTATCCAAGAGATTAGTTAACCATGAATATGATTCTATAGACACCTGTGCTTACTCTGGGTGGCATACACATTCAGAATCCCGATCTTCATAGACTTCACAGTTGTATCTCCAATGACAAGAGTGTCGGTTACGAATTTCCCAGTGATGGTAAAGAATGATTCAATCGACTTGCTAAGGGTGAAATTGGAAGCAGAACTGTATTTTCCCTCTTTAACTGGGTCTTATCAACCGATTTTGCGACTTGCTTGTGTTTCAATGGCACATTGAACACAGCAGGCGTCTCTCTTTTTTCCAGAGACAAAGCATCTGTCAAAGAGGTGCCCAGTAGGCCCCAGAGCCACGACCCGCTACGCATGTCGATCGGCAATTAAGCGTGGGGATATATTTTTTAGCTGTACCCTCAGGTAGACCTCCGCAAAGCCCATTTAGGGGGTTCAACTAGCTTCTTGTAATCGCTGTATTCTGACCCTTCTACTAGTTATATAGGGTTTAAATTTAGAAGTTAGAATTATAATAGCTGTATACCTAAGTATATACTCTAATTTTAAACAAAATTCGACTAGTGGATGTTGAAAAAAAAGGTTAATATTAAAGTTATGATAACTAGATATATACTTAGGATTTACAGGGGAGTACTAGCACTTTTTACGTGAACTTCTATAATTTAAGACTTTTCTAAAGAACGCGTTTTCTCGCGTGTTTAAACGTAATATATGAATTTAGCTAATTATTAATAATATATTAATTAAACTAATAAAATATTAGTTACCCTGATCTAAGGGCTAAAAACGGGATCTAAACATAAGGTAATTAAAAAAGTCACGTTTTTCGGAATATTATGGGCTTTCACCCCGGGCCCATAGCCCACCGGTGGGCCCGAAGATAGGCCCAAAGCCAGCCCATTCGTGGGGTTGGGTTGGGTTGGGCCTTGGGCTTTGTGGGCTTTGCGGAGGTCTACCCTCAGGGTTCAAACCCCTTTTTTTGGGGGGGGGGGGGGGGGGGGGTTCTTGATGCCTGAATGCCTTATTTAGCACCGCTCTCTACACCGTATTGTAAATTATTTATACATAAAATGAAGCTTTTGAACTCTATATTCTTGGCGGTTTGCAAGTGTCAAAAATGAACCTTTTCATCCCATACAAATGGAGATACTGAGATTTGTATGGGGATCAAAAGCTTCATTTTTGGACATGCAAACCGCCCAGTAAATGGAGATAAAGAATTACGTAGTGTTTTACCGCTTTTAAGTTTAATATTGCCTAACAAAGAGTCGGTCCTATGTCGTAATAATTTCCTAAATAGGACTAGTATAATACATTGTACCTGCTCGAAATAACCTTCGAATCTTTAAGTTGCTACACAGATACAGAACGTCTACAGTACTTGTGAAGATGTCTCATCGGCCTACGATCCACCCACATACACTAGCCGTTATGCCGCCAGATCGCCAGCGGGCTCTACTGGAAAAGGATAAGAGGGAACCTCAGACTTGCAGATCAGTCTCCGATTTCCTTGAATCAAAGATCCGAGACTACAAAGTCGATCTGGATTACATCCAGTGTGCCCACGAAGGTCTTCTGGAGGCACGAGATGCCGACATGCTCACCGGCCCAGAATACGTTGCGGCTCTACGGCCTTTCATGAAGTCGGCTAGGTCGGCCTCACAGGAGCTGAAAGCTCTCTCATGTCAACGTAAGATCCTGGAAGAAGATCTGGAAGAGCAAGCGTCGGTTAAGCGGCAGCGGCAAGGAGAGCCAGATATTGAAATACTAGAAAGGGCGTACATCGATAGTATACTGCCAAAGGTTATGGCAGCCACGGCTAAACCGCCAAAGAACAAGATGATTGTAGGCAGCCAATTCAACGCATGCAATTTCAAGAGGGACGTTAATGAGTATTACGGCATTCCTAAGAAAAAGGGCTTCTGCCACCTCACGGGCAATTGGGATCCCGCGGATATTAAAGCAGCCCATTTGGTACCGAAAAGCCTCAGCGGTGATGAGATTGCGCACCTATTCGGGGTGGAAACCCTCGTGCTATCCAATCCAAGCAATGGTAACTACTCATTATCCCCAGACCGATCCGGAATTGGGGGTTGGTACTAATTAACTATATAGCATTATCTCTCCACCGGAATATAGAAGGCGCCTTAGACAAAGGACAGATCGTCATTGTCCCAATCCTGAGTGATACCGAGATTACTAGTCCTTCGCGTTGGAAATGTGTGCTGACGGATGAATCCATCCGCAACCTTACGGCAATTACAACGCCCAGTCATTCCTGGAGATGGAATGTAAGTCGTCCTAATCTGATTGAGTTTATTAGCAAGCTCACATTTTACTAGGACTTTGACCAAAAGGAACTTGAATTCCTTTCTGATACCCGACCCGCCAAGCACTTTTTATACTTTCGATTCATTGTGAGATACATCTTTTGTAAGAAGCGAGGTCAAGTCACATTCACGGACAAGGTTGAGGCGGCCGGCCAATTCTGGCCAACACCCGGTCCTTATCTCAGAAAGTCAATGCTGCGGACGTTGGCTAGAAGCATTTCAGGCTACCAGCTACCCGCGAGCTTGGTGGACAACAAGACTTTCGAGGATTCGGAGCACGTAAAGGGAGACCCCGGAGCGGAGTCAGGCATTGTGGCGGCCCAATCTATCTACGAAGCCATGATCGCCTCTATTAAGACTTCGGTACCTGATGAAATGGAGGAAAGGGACTCGGAAATGGGCCAAGGTCAGGCCCTGGATGAGGATAGTACAAGTTCGAGTGGCGATGAGCCTTTCTTTGAGGACAGCATGGAGTTTTTATGAATTGGCTCCTATACCGCGGTGATGCACTTGCTTTTGCTAATGGCGTGGATTTGATATTATATCCCTATTCTTATCCCTCCTCTGTCGGCGGTTATTCTCAGGGTGCTATGGGCATATTGAACTGTCCAGGATGATTGTTAAAAATAGGGGGACCCCTCATAATCCACATTTCGATTCTATGAAACATGAAAAATACATGAAACCCGATAAACCCACGAGACTGGCGAAACCCTGAATCCCCATGCATGGTGGGTCCCCCGAAGTCTCGTTCTGACAGTCTCGAACTCTTCTGACCTGCACAAGGCTATGTTGTTGATCTCCAGATTTTTACCCCCTCGACTTTGGATGTCAAACGTCATCACATTTTTGGTGAATTGCCTGATCGAATAGAATTAGAATGCAGTTAATAATGTTGGCGGCTAGTGATTCGATGCTCTGGGAATCATCGGGGTTTTAATCCTAAAGGGGCAAAATTATATCTAGACAAATTGACGCTAAACCTCTAGCCTGGGCAAAATTGTCACCTGGCTTCGGCAACAAAACTCAGCTTAGTCGCAACTGGACTCGCTTATCAAAGGAAACTTTTAGCAATTGGGTGGCGCCCGCTAGGCGACTGAGTAAAAGCATCAGCTTAGGACGCCTATGATGAAGTGTCATTACAGAAATTCGTGTAGATGGTGAGAAGACAGTGTTTCGTTTCTACCCGAGCAAGTTGGGTGTTCAGCAAAAATAAGGCGGATAAACACTTATGTCTCAGTCAAAACACTCTTGATAATCTTCTCCATAAGCTCATCTGGTAGTTTCTAATAGATAGTTCTGGTGTTTTGTTTTTGCTTGTTCTGGAATATCTGCCGGCATATCTGGTGCTGATTCTGGGTTCGACTTATGGGATATATATTTATTTGTAGATAGAACACTAAAAAGAAAAACCAATTTTCTTTGCCCCCATAGTGCAGGCCATGGTACATTATTGCTTTGAGAGACAGCTGTAAGAATTGGTTCATGTATACCGCCGAGGTTGTACAATCAATGTATACGAGCGACTAAGTGTGCCACCTGCACACAACTCTTTCATTGGATTACATTTCCAGGCAGTAATTTAGTCGTCCACTCTCAGTTTATAGGGTGCTATGTTAGTCGCATTCAAAGGCATACTGTAGCATATTTGGGCAGCCTTTGCAAGGCAACAAGCATAGCGGGAATCTAGAGGAGGTCACACAATCCACTACGTAAAAGTTCCCATGGGTATTAGAACGGCCTTCAGTATTGATACGATCCATATAAAATTGGAAAGTCATCAAATAGATCCCGAAAGTCACCTTGACTTGAGATGACACCAAGAAGTGATGGCGGGATATTGCTCTAGGTCATATGTGAGAGCAGACAGCGTTGAAACCACCTGAATAGCAAAGATGACCATCAATGGAATTATAGAGGTGGGCTGGTTTACTGGATACATCGGTTGGTAAGGTGTCAACCTTATCCCGAGGTCCTCCCCGTGAGCTTATGTCATGATTGTTTCGGTCGCGCTCAGTGTCTGGGAGGTGAAGAGATTAGCAGGGAGGTCATATCTTCTAGATAAAAGTCCCTAATCTGGTAAGCTTTTTTTTCAGGTCAAGAAACGCCTGAATCACATCCCATATATGGGGGTGGCTGCCGGGACACCGGATTACTCGGGCTGGAAGATTTTCCCGGGTTATTCGAGATCCACTATATTGATAATAGAGTCAAGTGTTTGACAGGTTCAAGTCTTGGCTTTCTTGACATGTAGCTTTGCAGTTTATCTATCTTTTTATCTATGTAGGTGTATGCAGGTGGGATGATTTGATGCCTTGGTGCCTTGGTGCCTTTCAATGAGGAGTTAAATTTTGCCCCCCACTAATGCACGAGCCAGCTAGTGAGAATGAAAATTTGCTCGAGGCAGATGAAGCAGATGTAGCAATTTTTGGTTTAGATTTAATTTCTTTAGTTTTACCCCTGACTGTTTTTACCTATATATAAACATAGCTGTATAGGTATTTCGTACCATACATTGATCACTTGGAAGTAAGACCGGGACTCGGGGGATCAGATTTGGATTATTAATGCACATTGCCCCACCAATTTGATAGAGGGGTGAAGTCAAGCCATTTGTATATCCTTGGAAAGCTATAGATGAAAAAAAGTATGAATGTGAATCATACGCTCTAAATTGACTCTTTTCTTTTTTAACATTTATTAAACGATTATATCATTATGGTAAATATAGTAAAGACTCGGAACCTCGCTTGTAATATGTCAGACGTCACCGGGGAACCCGATGGCAAAAACAGTCAGTGAGTCAAGATATAAAATGGAGGATTTGAAATCAAAAAAAAGCTGTAATGAAAGGTAAATGAGAGGAAGATGAGCTATTAAAAAAAATAATAATAATAATTCTTTACTATAAGAAAAAAAAAAAAAAAAAAGGCTAGTCAGCTCAAACGCACAAAACCGGGAGGAGAAAAGAAAGTCCCCACTTTCGCTTTTCTTTTTTTCTCTCCCACTTTCCACTTCCCCTCTTCTTCTTCTTTCCCCTACCTCTGTCCTCCAGGAGCAGTTGCACATAGAACTTTTTGATTCAGTGATCGAGAATATCGATCCTAGTCATCTGTGTGCTCTTCTTCTTCTTTTCTCTATCCTAGTTTACTAAGGATAAACCGCCAAAATGGTTAAGTAAGGATATCTCACCTCTAATCTCAGAACGTACAGCTAACCATGAGAACAGCTTCACTATCGAAGAGGTTCGTAATTGCCTTTCGAGGATTGCAAGGTTATATCAAACATTACCAGTGGAAGGGTGATTCCCGTCTGCATTTCATCTTCCATCTCCCCCGCCATTTCCGCTGGTGATGCTTGAAACCTTTTCTATCCTTGCAGATAATCAAATCATGAATGACAATACTAACCTACATCAGATCCGGACCTTGATGGACCGTCGGGCTAACATCCGAAACATGTCCGTCATTGCTCACGGTAAGTTCTTCTGATGGTATGATGTGAAATGACTGATTCTGACTTTTGTGCCTGTGCGTTAGTCGATCACGGAAAGTCCACCCTCTCCGATGCCCTTGTCCAGCGTGCCGGTATTATTTCCGCCGCCAAGGCCGGTGAGGCTCGTTTCATGGACACCCGTCCCGATGAGCAGGACCGTTGCATTACCATCAAGTCCACCGCTATCTCCCTCTACGCCAAGTTCCCCGACCCAGAGGATCTCAAGGAGATTCCCCAGGCCGTCGATGGTGACGAGTTCCTGATCAACTTGATCGATTCCCCCGGTCACGTCGATTTCTCGTCTGAGGTCACTGCCGCTCTCCGTGTCACTGACGGTGCCCTTGTCGTTGTCGACTGTGTCTCCGGTGTCTGTGTCCAGACCGAGACCGTCCTGCGTCAGGCCCTGACCGAGCGCATCAAGCCCGTTCTGATCATCAACAAGGTCGATCGTGCTCTTCTCGAGCTCCAGGTCTCCAAGGAGGATCTTTACCAGTCCTTCTCCCGTACCATTGAGTCCGTCAACGTCATCATCTCCACCTACTTCGACAAGGCTCTCGGTGACGTCCAGGTCTACCCCGATAGAGGTACCATCGCCTTCGGTTCCGGTCTCCACGGCTGGTGCTTCACTGTCCGCCAGTTCGCTATCCGTTACGCCAAGAAGTTCGGTGTTGACCGCAAGAAGATGCTCGAGCGTCTCTGGGGCGACAACTACTTCAACCCCAAGACCAAGAAGTGGACCACCAAGGGTGAGCACGAGGGCAAGACCCTTGAGCGTGCCTTCAACCAGTTCATCTTGGACCCCATCTTCAAGATCTTCGCCGCTGTCAACCACAACAAGCGTGACGAGATCTTCACCCTCCTCGATAAGCTCGAGGTCTCTCTCACCAACGATGAGAAGGAGCTCGAGGGCAAGGCTATCCTCAAGCTCATCATGCGCAAGTTCTTGCCTGCCGCCGATGCCCTTCTGGAGATGATCTGTATCCACCTGCCTTCCCCCGTCACTGCCCAGAAGTACCGTGCCGAGACTCTCTACGAGGGTCCCATGGACGACCGTGCCGCCATCGGTATCCGCGACTGTGACCCCACTGCTCCTCTGATGCTTTACGTCTCCAAGATGGTGCCCACTTCCGATAAGGGTCGTTTCTACGCCTTCGGTCGTGTCTACTCCGGTACCGTCAAGTCCGGTGTCAAGGTCCGCATCCAGGGCCCCAACTACATCCCTGGTCGCAAGGAGGATCTCTTCATCAAGGCCATCCAGCGTACCATTCTCATGATGGGTCGCTTCGTCGAGCCCATTGAGGATGTCCCCGCCGGTAACATTGTCGGTCTGGTCGGTGTCGATCAGTTCCTGCTCAAGTCCGGTACCCTCACCACCGATGAGACTGCCCACAACATGAAGGTCATGAAGTTCTCCGTCTCCCCCGTTGTGCAGCGCTCCGTCGAGGTCAAGAACGCCCAGGATCTGCCCAAGCTTGTCGAGGGTCTCAAGCGTCTCTCCAAGTCCGACCCTTGTGTCCTGACCATGATCAACGAGTCTGGCCAGCACATTGTTGCCGGTGCCGGTGAGCTCCACCTCGAGATTTGTCTTAAGGATCTCGAGGAGGACCACGCTGGTGTTCCTCTCCGTATCTCCGACCCCGTCGTTGCTTACCGTGAGACCGTCGCTGCCGTCTCCAGCATGACTGCTCTGTCCAAGTCGCCCAACAAGCACAACCGTCTGTACATGACTGCTCAGCCCATTGAGGAGGATGTTTCCCAGGCCATTGAGTCCGGAAAGATCAGCCCCCGTGACGATTTCAAGGCTCGTGCCCGTGTCCTTGCTGACGAGTACGGCTGGGATGTCACCGATGCCCGTAAGATTTGGTGCTTCGGTCCCGACACCACCGGTGCCAACTTGCTCGTCGACCAGACCAAGGCCGTCCAGTACCTCAACGAAATCAAGGATTCCGTTGTCTCCGGTTTCCAGTGGGCTACCCGCGAGGGTCCCG